AGTCATCATAATTTATTTTATAAATTTTTTATGGATAATTTCTTGGCAACATCTATATGCTCCAACATTTCGATAATTCAACAACTAGGTATAATAAATATAAAGAAGTTATTCTCATAATTTTTTAAATTAATTTAAAATGATGAAGCTTATTTATATATATAGAAAATTTCATCTTCTAAAGATACCAAGAACATTATCCTCAACTTTAATTTAAAATCGTCACTTTATTTTATAATTTATTTAAGCTTTCAGGGCTATTCAATTTAATTGATCCGAGGGCAAAATTTTTAATTTCGCATTAAAATTATTGAATTGAAAAAAGGAAAGGCTTTAGCTCATTTATCTGAAACTTTTTACTTGACATATAGTAATAAGCTTAATCTTATTATTTTTTATTTCTCATAGTAATAAGTTTAAAGTTGGTTTTATTATCGTACTATTTTACATAGTGTTAAGGTTTAGAATAGCAGGAATACCAAGTTTAAAACTAACTTTTTGAGACTCATTTTTAATGAGTGCAAGTTTTGATCAGCGCAATTGTTTTTACAAGCTTCAGTTCTATAGCTTTATCATAAAAATTTTGAGATTGTCAATGATGGAATTTTTTTTTATATATCAAAACGAAAAAACATGATTTTAAAAAAAGAACATAATATAGAAAGAACGCAATATAAGAAACGAAAGAAAAATTCTTTGGTAATAACGAAAAGTTGGTTAACTAAAAAATAGATTTAATTGTTAAAAAGTAAAAGAAGCAGAAAAATTTTCATAATTACTACTAAAACAATTCTTCTCATAATATAGTTTCTGATGATGTAGTGGAAATTTAAAAACTTGTAGTTTAACTTTTATAAAAGAATATAAAACAGTTCTGATTAATTTTTTAATTAAACATTATAAAAGATAGCAGTCTAAAGTCTTTTTAATAGGTTATGATTCCTGTAGTCTTTCGTCAATCATTTCTAGAAATAAATAATGAGTATTTCTATCTGGTGGTGTTGATAAAACAATTAGATTTTGGTAAAGATAGAATTAATTTTAGTTTCAATAAGTAATCACTGACCATTTAAATGAAGTATTATCATTAAGTTTAAATAACCTTGAAAGCAAACTTATTGCATGTTCAAAGGGTAAATCAATATTTGTAATGGAAAAACCTAGTTTTAATAAAAAATGGTGTATTATACAAAAAGATTCAACTAGATTAATATGGCCTTCGATTACATTTGATTAATGATTAATTATTTATATTACAACCTTATCTCCAAGAAAAAATATTGACCTTGATATAAATATAAATTTGTATCTGAAAAATAAGATTATGCTCTATCATGTGACTTATGCTATGATAGATAATCCTTTCCAATATAAAACAATTAGCTAAAGCAGTTTATAGTGAAAAAGAATGGAAAGAGTATTAATGTAATGATGATGAAAGACAATGGTGGAATTGGAATTGAGTAGTTAATTGAATTTAGAAGTTGTGGTAATTATGGGTAATTAAGCAAAGATGGAAATTATCTATTACTTGGAATAGTAGTTTAAGACAAATTCAAATACATATATGCAAAGAGAAATGGGCAATTTTTAGTTATTTATATTTTAATTTAAATATTCTTATTTAACTTTCATTAATTTTGAAACATAATTCTATGAAAATAATTTTAATAGAATTACAATATTTCATATCAAAAAACAAATAATTTCAGTAAATATTTTTAATGAATCAAGAATATGAAAGAATAAAATTTATATTTCTTAGTTTGGATAAGTTTATTATAATGGTATCTATTCTATCATTTATGCTTAGGATTTAAATAAAAAGATAGCCTTATAAGATTTGAAATTTACATTTACGAATGTACTGAAAATAGATTTATTTTCAAAACTACCTTAGTTTTTCATTTCAAAAGGTTTTAATTCTATTTAATTAAATTCTCACTAAAGTTTAAGTGGGTAAACTTATTAGGATTTTTCGTAATAAAATAAGAATCACCTAGAGGTTCTCGTCAAATTTTATGAAGAAGGAGCATGATAAAATTCTTGTATTCTCTTTTAATCCAAACATTTAATGAAATTGATATTTTATTGATGATAAATTTCAAAACTAATTTTAAGATTTTTAAAACCTTAACTTTATCACTTTAAAGCAAAATCAATAAATTTAATGTATGACTAATTTTTTAGTAACAAGAAAAAATTGTTTTATCGTCATATGAAACAAAAAAGCCATTAATAATTGACTAATAATACTGATATCATTCATAAAATTCTAATGCTATCATAGAGTTTAATTAGATTTGCATTTAGAATTTTTGAAATACTTTCTTTAAAATATTTTACAAAAGATAACTTCTGCGTTTGCATATATATATAATATTATAAAAAATGAATATATTCACTAATTACAGCATATATTTTTATAATAGTAGATTAAAGAATTGATTGTTATTGTATCTTATTATTATTATTATTATTATTATTATATATTTATCAGTCATTTATTGTATCTTTGAACAGTCAATTAATAATATAAAAAGGATTTCTCAAATTATAAATTATAATTATAATGTCAATCAAAAAAGTGTTATTTTAAAGCTTAATAACTTATTAATTTTCATGATTAATAGTATATTTTAGATCTTTCTAAAACCAAAATTAACAATATAATCATAAATTATCTAATTTTAAGACAATTTGACTGAAAATGCCTTATATATATATTAATTATAAATATCATTTTATTTATAAATTCTTCAATCCTATAATAATATTAAATTTATTCATATATGAATGTATATAAATTCAAAAATAATTTGATTATATATGATTTAATTCTATTCACAGAACTGGACTTTTATTAGATTCTAATTGTATTAAATATTTGATTAAATATTTATGTATAATACAGGTCATAACAATAATGTGATTCCCCTTATATTTCTAATATTTAAAGAGATTTTTAGTCCTGATAATAAGATGATATTGACCATTTTATTAACAATTACTTGTGGATTCTATCTTAGAAAATAAATTAATGTTAATTCATCAATAAAAACAATTTTAGTCTGCTACATTCTTATAGCTGATAAGAATATGAAAAACAGGGATTATGGATTGTTACAAATTTTTTAACAATAATAAGTTTTTATTCTAAAACATGATTACTGTAAAGAAGTGAATGATAACTGATTGAATATGTTTTTAAAATAGACATATTTTAATGTAGAATCAAAATAAAATAACTAATCAATTATTTTGTTGGCAAAAGTTGATTTGTATTTCAATTTAAGAAAAGTATCATAAATCAGATTTTAAACTTCAGCTATGATTTAGAGAAAATTTTCTTTATCTAAAAATAATTAGGTTTTTATATTTACAACAAATTTCTCTTTCATAAATTTGACTTTTTTTTATAATTTTACCTAACAATTCTGATAAGATAAACAGATATATTTTAGAATAATAAGCTAACACCACTTCTACTACCGCTTTTTATTACATAAGTCAAACAATCAATGAATAAATTTAAATATGTAATGATTTTTATGATAATCATTTTTAATTAATTTAAATTTAATTATCTAAAATTCAACATCCTTTTGATTTAAATAATGATTGTTAATCTACTCCTTAAGTATTTACAAATTCTCCATTTAAGATCAAAGTATTGGTTATTAAGATTTGAGTGGAATTGTTGTATTGGTAGCGAATTAAATATAATTAAAATAATTACCACCTTTGAAAAAGATTTTTTTTTTAAATAAGGCTAAAATATCTTTGTATAATTTCCTTGCTTTAAATTGTTTTTTCAGTCTTAACATCCCACAAACGGATAAAGTTATCATAACTACTTGATACTAATATAGTATCATCAGGAGAGTAATAGACTGAAAAAACATTACTACTATGACCATTCAATTTGGCTTTTTATTATCCTGTCAGCACATCCCTTACACTGTTAACTGATAGAGTTATCATAACTATAGGTTGTTAATGTAAAACTATCAGAAGAGAAGTATTTTGATCTAATGATATTACTATGACCTTCCCATTTACCTAATTCATGGATTTTAATATTCTTCCATTTACAATCAAAATTGGTAGCCTTAGAAAGATAACTTAAAAAATCTGATATTTATTCTATTCTAAGAATTTATATTAACTTATTCAAAGTGTCTATTCTTCAATGTCATTTACATAATCTAATATCTTTGAGATATCTTCTATTATAATTCTTTTTTATTAAAGTGTTCTAAACGATAAATAAAATTTTTTACCTTATATATTAATAGATCCTATTCTATTGAATCAAAGGAATCCTTATATTATAAGGGCATAAATTTTAAATCCAAAAATTGATCTATGTTCTAGATGCACTAATTTACCTTTACTTAATAAATTATTTTATGGTTTTCACAAGGATAGTATTGCATTTGCTTTTTAAAAATTATTTAAATTAATGATATCTAAAAATAAATTTTATTACATTTTATAGATACACTATTAATTACAGTACACATTAGACAATAATTATAATCATTATATTAAGAAATTATTAATATATAAGGGATTGCATATGAAAAGAAATGATCAAAAGTTAAAATTTTAACAAATTGTTTAAATTAATATAAGGAGAGAGAGAGGGTTATTGTACTGCAGTGAATCTAATTTCACCATAATTAGAACAATAGAAGGGAAAATTGCTTCCTTATTGAGCTTATTAAAACAATTAATTAAGTTTTATTTATTTATATCTTCTATAATAAAGATATTAATCATATTAATTGTAAAAAAATTTGTAATAAAAATGATAGAAAATGAGAAATTACTCCAATGTGCTTTCAAGCATTAACAACCAATTGTTTCAGTCATCCTTAATCCATAAATAAGTAAAGAGCAAAGACTTTTGTGTACTGAATGTCTAAGTAGTATAAACATTGAGGAAAAAGTAATAGGATTCAAAAAAATAATTGAGATATTAGAATAAAGGTAATATTAGAAAATGAGCCAAATAGAACCCATTATAGAGTAGATTGTAAATTATATTGAATAAATTCTAAATTATATTAGTCAACTTAAATCAAATGCAATCTAATAACTAGTATAATTAAGCACTCTACTTAAAGATTGGATCATTAATCTTTAATCTACACAATTAAAATATTAACAATACAGTTTTCACGAGGAATTAGAAATAATAATCAAAAATAGCAATACAAATAACTTTGATCTAAATCCATTCATCAAAGATATTAGCAAATAATATAGTAATTAGATTGAAAAAGTTTCATCTAAATTGGAGTAATACAATTAATTTCAAGAATATAATAAGTGCAAATAAATTTTATAAAATCTATAAGATATTATAAAATAAGGACCATCTGAGAATATTAATCAAGGTCCAATAATTAAAAATAATGAAGGAAAAGATATAATTTAAATTGTAAAATAACCATTATTAAAAGAAGGAGCTGTCAAATTAAATCTCATAGATTCATCTGTTAAATAAATGAATTCTTGTATAAGCATAGTTTTCAATCCTCCTGGATCAATTATGGTATCCACAAATAAAGAAGCCATTAAGATTTGGAATTTTAATAATGGAAGAATCTAATTACAATAAACTTTGAAACAACATACTGCTTAGGTCAATTGTTTAATTTATAGTAGAATATAGGATGGATTTCTATCTGGTTCTGATGATAAGACAATAATAGTTTGGAAATTAGAAAAATAGAATCAATGGATTAGTTCACAACCTTATCAATAACATACTGATAAGGTATATTGCTTGATTTTAAATTAAAATGAGAATCAACTGTTCTCTGGGAGTGAGGATATGTCAATTAAGGTAGGGTAATTAGATTTTAAAAAGAATAAACTCATTTATTAATATGAACTAAATAAACATAAAAATAAAATATATGCATTGAGCTTAAATTAATCAGAGAGTTTATTAGTATCATGTGCACATGGTTAGAATGAAATAATAATTTGGAAAAAAGGACTTCAAAATAAAATGGAATTTAAATATGTTGTTAAATAATCTACCAATAGTAGTGGAGGAAAAGTAAAGTTTATCAAAGAGAATTAGTTTATTTGGGTTTCTGATTTTAAATATACTGATAAAATATTCATATTTGAATTGAAGGAAGGTGTTTTTCATGAGAATTAGTAAAAGACTATAGAATTGAATTTTAATAATTAAGAATTAGATAAGTTCTAATTTCCTATAATTCATAATATGTAAAGGAATCTCTTAGTTTTAAGACACGGAAGTTACATATATTTAATTAGAGAATTGAATAATGAAAAATTCAAAATAGTTGAGCAATTGAAATGTTATACCAACGATATTTTTGGGACAATCACAAATAATGGATCACATTTAGTTTTTTGGGATAGCAAGAATTAAAGTTATTCAATCTATAAATTATCATATCAATGAAATCAAAAAAAAATAATTCAATTGTATCTATGAAAATATATTGATAAAATTCTAAATATTATTTAATATTCCATTCCTTAAAATTAGGAAAACTTAAATTTTATATCTTTAGGACAATCTATTTGTTTTTTTTAAAACATTATTAATATAGTTCTTGTTTATTTAGAAAAAAAATAAATTTATAAAGAATAATTAACAAAATGTAATTTCTATTTTAAAAATATAAATTGTTAGATTCGAAAATTAACCTTGATAAATACTAAATTTTCTTTTGTTGGCAAGTTCTCATTAACAAATACTAAAACTAGATGTAAGATGAAAAATCACTATATTTAAAAAAAAGATATTTCTAACAATAACAATAAGTTCAAATAAGATACAATCACTTAAAGTAACATAATTAATATGATAATATTGCTTGTATTTCCAAGTTGATTATTGTGTTGTTAATTTGTATATACATATAGATAAATCTCACTCATCCTCCTTTTAGAGAAAGTTATTTTAATAATAATATGGTCAAGGTTTGATTTTGACAGCTATTAAGATACTAAATTAGTTACTAATTTTGAACCTGTTACTCAAGGTGCTTATATAAAATAAATTATACTCAATTTCAAAGTTAATTTTAGTTTTGAGAAATATAGTCTTTGATTTAAATTTAGTTTTTCAAAATTTATGCGACTTATATGAAAATAAAATTAGAGATTGATAAATTTTAAAGGAATGAGAAACTAACTGAATTCAATATCAAAGTAAATCATTAAATAACATGAAATTTAATCAAACTAACTAACTAATATTTAATATTTTAAATTACGACTTAAAATTAATGAATAATTTCACAGCATTTCACTTAGTTTAAATTTCAATGTCCTAGATGGTAGAATATAATGTTAATTGGAAAATTGAAGGATTCGATCTATTATTCAATACAAAAAATTTTCAAAAGATCCTTATTTCATATCTTTCCATATATCTTCATTAAACATATTATTCATAATTATAAATGAATGATTTGTCTGACCACAATGCTTTATTCATTATCTTAAGTTTTAATAGCCTTGAATTTTATCTATCAGCTGAATTAGTTTAAATTTTAATTTACGTTTATTAGCTTTGAAAAAATATTAATCAATAAAACCAAGATAAAATTTTTGGTAATAAAATAAGAAATCTTCTTTTAAGTTGTAATCGTGGGTAATTATTCACTTGTGAAGATTAACAGGATCATCTTATCCAAAGAAATTCTTATTAATACTACATATAAAAGTTGAAAATTTGAACAAGTTAATTTAGAATTGAACTTAATTCATGATTTTTCATTATGAAATTGTTAATTCAAAATAAATTAATTAACTTAATAATACATATACATGTATTTTCATCAACTAATAATTTTCTTTATTTTTTTTTGCTAAATGGTTTCTTTACGCTATATGAATTTAATCATTACTCGATGGTTATTTTATCAACTATTTTCCTTTTCATTTTATTTTCATTTCTTAGGAATTAATTAAAATGAACTAATTATATATTGTTAGATTTTTATAATGGTTCTTCAAAAGTAAAATTATATATATCGTATTATCATTAATAAAATTTTTCAATCATTTTAATTTTTATATAAAGATCTACATTTAAGAGACTAAAATTTAGTATTATTTTTTTAGATTAAAAATAAATACAATATCAATTCATTTTTTTTTTCCCTAATTTGCGTTTTTAAGGATTTTATTTTGAAAAACTTACATATTTTCTTTGGTATTTTTGATACATGATAATCTATGTTTATGGTTTGAGTAATCAGTTGTAAATTTAAATAAACAATTTGGAAAATTAAAAGTAATAAATATGGATAAAAAGAGTTTTATTTCTTTTTATATTCTAAATTGTCAGATTTTCTCTGAACTCTTTATTGATAAATTTAATATCCTATACCATCAATATTTATTAAAAATTAGGTTAAAAAAATGAGATATAAAAATGCCTTAGCACTATTTATCATTATAGTCTTAAATTGTGCATAAGATTTTTTAAAAGCCAAAATCTAATTGATAAATAACTATTTATCTAAATTAAAGATTTATTATTTTTATTTCATTTTTATTATTAGTATCCTATTAAGTTTGGTTTTGTATAAACAATTTATAATTTGAGTATTTTTTCAGTTCCAATCGTCAATAAATTATTTTTACTTTTAAAGGAAATATATTAAAATTCTTAATTTAAATTGTAAGTTTCATTCCAGAATAATAATCTTCATTACTTTTTCCATGTGTACATTTCTTTTTATGCAATGAAAAATAATATTTACTTATAAAAGATAATAATGTTTTGTCGCATTATTCTCCATAAATTAGGGTTATAAGCTTTTATATGGTAAATTCTGATCTATCCATTCAATACTCAAAAATCATATAATATAATCAGAGCAATCTTTATTCTATAAAAGATCTTTATTTTATACAAGATCTTTATTTTCTATATGCTTCTTTTAATACATAAACAGAATTATCATTCTTCACTTAATTATAGTTGTATTTAAATTAGAAAATAATAAATGATGAATATCTTCATTTAATTTAAACATTCTTTATCATGTTAAATTTGATTAAGTCCACTTTTTATAACTGGTTTTTCCGTATAAACTAGAGAGATAAGTTTGTTTCAAATAAAAATTATAATTTAACAAGATTAGTACTTACAATTTGTCTGAATGCTAAAACCTTAATTTATTTTTTAATGAAAGAGATTTTATTATGAATTATATTAAGTTAATGTTAACATCCGAAAATAGCTCAGTTGGTAGAGCGAGGGACTGTAGTGTTAATTCAGTTATCCCCAGGTCGGTGGTTCAAATCCGCCTTTTCGGAGTTTTTTTATTTTTTATCTATATTTCAGAATATTTAAATAAATCAATAATCTTTTACTTTGTGAAAAACAGTGTAAGATTTTTCATTTAATGTCATTTATTTAGGCACAAAAATCTATGGGGTGCGTATTGGGGGATCATTCGTATAAAACTAAAATTATAATTATCCTTATGTGATATAGGTTGTATTTTGGGAATTACAATAAATATAATAAGATATAGCTAGCATTTTTTCTTATTTCAATTCGTATTAATGACTAAAAATAAAATGCAGATGATTAAAAATATAATGGAAAATTTAATATAAAATAAGGACAATATAATTAATTAGGGTTATTTCTTTCAATATAGATTAGTTCTTTTAACTTCTTTTCTCCATTAATTATAAACAGCTTTTCTAGGTTTAATTCAACTCACTATAAATTTTATCATAATTAATACTTATCAATAAATTTTAAAGTTTATAGTTTTGAATTCATGAATCACATTTATAAATGCAACTATCAATTAAAAAATTTGAAATAACTTGGCTTTTAATACATTGATTAGGATTTTTATTGATAAAATTTATGGAAGTTTTTTGTATTTCATAACCTCCAATTTATTAAAGAGAATTAATGATTTAGTTTTTATATAATTATTTGTAAATTTAAAATTTAAGCAAATTATTAAAAGGACTATCCACTTTATTCAGATTATCCAAAACAATTCTTATTTCAGCTTTTTTTCATTCCTGCTGCATCATTTTTTATGTCATTCTTATAATTTCTTAAAATGAAGCTAAATTATCATTAAGAATGAAAAATTGAATAACTTAATTTAAACTTAACTTTTCGGCTGCATTATATTATTTGAAAAGTAAGATAAGATATTCTTAATGTTAATTATAGATAGTTAAAAAAACATATTAATCTCAAGCCTAGAGTTATGATTTAATGAGATAGATGTGAATTCACTTCTTTTTTGTTTCTTTGGTTTTTATTAAAAGATAGCTATTATTAAAATCCATTCTGTATCCTTTATTATTGAAATATTGTTCTGAGTCTAATATTTAAGTGTTATTAGAATATATATACTCATTATTCTTTTTTTTTTCTCTGAAATATTATTCAAATTGAAATAAAATAATCAAAATGTATGTAATTTATACTCATAAAAAACTATGAATAAATATTTTAAATCGATTTATACTTTGCAGCAAGTACAAATTTTCAAACAAATGACATTCCAAAAGATGTTGAAAATATTTTAATCTGTAATTTATTTTATATTTGTACTAGAAATATAATGAGATATGGATATTTCAAAGACAAATGTTGAGACTACAACAGAATTAATATGATTAGTTGGTTACAAATTGATGTATTATATTAAATAAGATATACATTCAAATAATGAATAAACTAAAAAAAAATGTTGCAGATTATAATAATTTTATTTATTAAATTACTCCATATTTTGAAAAAGATTAAGTTTGTAATTTTAAAATAATCAATTTTTTCAGATAAAATAAATTGAATTATGTTATAAATTTAATATTCTTACAGATCTTTATATTTATTATTTTAATCCTCACATTTCTTTATAAATTCTTACTTATATCTATTATGATTTATTATCGTAAGTCACAAGATACTATCCATCATAACTCAAATAACCAAAAATAGATTCTGTATGAAAATTTATTGAATTTTCCAAATAAAATTAATCATCTCTTTTTTTTATTAGATTTATATAATCACCATTTTTATTAAGAAGAATTGCTTTTTCGCTTATATATTATTAAGGAAAAAAATAAAGTTCGTTATTTGAACATCCATTTACACTAATTTCTTTTATTTTAGTATATTATTCAGACTCAATAGTCTATTTATAAACAAACATTTAGTTTTTACCATCTGGTTAAAATGTAAATATAGAATCAGAAATAAAACATAACCTTCTTCCTTAATTCTCAAGTTTAATTTTTTAGACTATAATCCATTTTTATTCTTGCTCTATCTATTTAATCACTAATATCAAATTATCACATCCACAAGAAATAATTTAATTCTATAGTTCATTTAAGTTTAATTCTAATACTGATTCTGTATGTTCTTCTATTGTTTATTAGCATTACCATTCTGCATCTTTTACCCAAAATTTAATGGTTTTATCTTAACTGCCGGATATAATATAATCATCATTTTTATGAATTTTTAAACAAAAAATCTATTATGAATGACCACTTAATTTTTATTCACAAATCCATTCATCATTTTTTTCATTTTAATATATTGCAACAGTATTGTTATCACTTGTTGATATAAAATAATCCTTTTTTTTCAAAAAAACCAAACTTAAAGGTTAAATTTAATTATCAAGTATTTAGATTAATTTTAATTGACCTTAATTAAAACTGAAAACTTTTATTTGTGAATCACAACCAGCAATTAAAACTGAATTGTTTCTATTAAGAGCAATTGAATAACATTTTTCTATTTATTTAATAGAGTTTTCTTCAAATAATTAATAATTGAAAGATTTAAACTAATATGGTGTTTGATCAAATTATTAGATGCAATTAATAGTTTATTTTTTTAAGTATTGACTCATTTCCTTTAATTTTTAAATATAACACTCTTTTTAATTAAGAACAGTATCTTTAACAAGTTTTTCAATTAAATTATCTTATGTTTAATATTCATCAAAAATTGGATCATCAAAAATTTTAGGTTTATTCATTTAGCTTATCTACAAAGATATTTCAATAATCTCTTCTTTATTTAATTTTGACCATTAAGTTCCAAATTTTGATTTTAATTCATCTTATTTCCTTTAATATTTAGTTTGTGCATCTCCAAATTTTTCATTTGCGTTTTTAAACATTAAATTAGTATCTACTTATATTGATTAAAAACTATTTTTTATAGTTTATACTTTTTTTTCAAAAGTTTCAGCATTTTTTTTCATATTTTCTAATCTTTCTTTTTCAATTTATTTCCATAATTTTTTTGCAAAATTAATTGATCTATAATCTATTTTTGGCATTTCATCTTAACACTACAAACAAGCAACACGCTTTTAGCTAGATCTCTCTTACCCTAAATCAAGTAAAGTTATATCTTTAGAATGTTATTCGCAATTAAATTTTAATTCCTAATAATAATATTATTTTTTTTATTACATCATCAGAAGATTAGCTTTGATCATATTTCTCAAATTCTATTAAATTACAATTAATATTCCCTATTATATCATTACATAGATCCAATTTTTGCATTGAAATCAAATTTACAAGTTTACTTTGTAATCCTTGCTTAAATAAATTATAAGTGTTAGTTGTATTCTAAAATTCAATTTTAGTCTAATTGAAAAATAATTCATAATCATTTTCTTTGCTTTATTCTAATCTTTCCTTTATTTCTTTTTCTAAATTGCTAAATGAATCAATCCATTTTTATAAATGGTTTTTAATATCATCGTAAATTATTTAAAATTCCCCTTTTAAATTATCTATCTAAATCTATATTTCATTTAAAGATTAAATATTCTTTTCAAGTTATTTTTACCTTTCTTCCTTAAGTACATCTTTTAATTTTTAAATTTATTTGATAGAATCTTTGATTGATATTTTGTTTTTTCCTGAACGATGAATTAAGCATTATAAGCATTTTTTCCTCTTACTTAGATCTTATTCTTTTTTATCAATTGCTACATATTCTTCAGAATGTTCAACACACATTTTCTAATTTAGCTCTTCAGACATTTTTCTTGATTCTATAGATAATAATTTAATTTAAAATTAAATTTTATTAGCTCAACTATTATTATATTACATTATATTATGCGAGATATCAAAATTTTTAATTATTCAATATATATCAATCTCATTTTCTTAATTCTAGGGATAATAAAATTTCCAAATTAAATCATTAATAATTTGATAATCTATGAAAATTATTCAATTCTCATTTTAAAATTTAATATTTACTGATGTATAAGAAAGGATTGAATAAAATAAATAACCAACATATTAGAATTTTGGTTAGATTTATTCAATATGAAACATCGTCAATTACTTTGGGTAGTTTTGATTAATCATCAAAATTTATCTTAAGAAATTTATTTTAAATACTTTATAATTTTAGATTAGAATTTTAATGCTTGCCAATTCATTTATTCTATTTGCAGAAGTTATTTACAATGTAAAATATAGATTTCAATTTAATCTCTATTTTTAGAAATATTCCCTGAATTTTATTTTATTGTATAAAAATTTTATAAATATTCTCATAATTTTATAGATATATATAAAAGAAGGTCCAACCAATATATTCTGTACCAAACCAAATTACATATTGATTTTCCTATAACTAATTATATTTATTACATAACTTATCATACTTTTATTTTAATATATTTGGTCCAAAATTTTAAATTTTCAAAGAGAAAATTTCATCTATATAATCAAAAGTATGGAAATGTTTTATCTACTTAAATTCATTTAGAGACATTTAAAGTATAGTTATATTTGAAAAAGTTTATATTCATCTTTATACTACTCCCCTGCAATCAAAGTTTTTCATTAACCATCCTTAGAGGAATTTCTAAAATCAAAATAAGTTTGTCCATAATGTAAGCCGATTTAGAAGAATGATATTATTGTTTTGAATTACATTAATTTTATGATAATTTTTTTTTCATAAATATATAATGAAGCTCAGGATAATACAAGAGTCATAATCTATAATATGAAGCTTATTGTAATAGAGGTTTTCGAAAATTATTTATATTAAACCACCTCTAGCTGAAACATATTATAGGTATTTTATTTCTTGGATTCTAACAGAACTGAATTTCTCATGAATATCTTAGTAAAAATTGTCATTATTAAGAGTTGGCAGATTTAGAAATTTGATTTTTCAATACCCAAATAAAGATCATTAGGATTAAACTCAGGGGACATTATCTAACACTATTATGACTTTCTTTGAACATTTTTACTAAATATCAACCATCAAATTTTGGGGCTAATGCTTATAGATTTCAGAATTTAAAATGATCCTTTATCACTTATACTCAAACCATTTTTGTGATTTTATTTGTTGAAGGCAATTGATATAAATAAGCAATAGAATGGAATCTTAGTTATTAGTCCTACAAAATTAATTAGATCCATTAAAGTTTCTCTTTTGAAGCAACCTGAGGTTGTTGCTCATTAGAATGTTCTGCTTAAAGCATTATTTAAAATCAAATTAGATTTACACATCAAAGAATAGGTATCGTAGCCTATAAGATGCCAAGTTTATTTTTATAGCAACAAATTCAGAAGCTGATATATATCTATTCTATTAGCCATCTTCTATGGACAATAAATAAATCCATATGAATTGCTAATATTTTATACTATTTCAATTTAGACTGAGGATAAAGAGATCGATCAAGTAAAAGGAAAAAAAATAATTTTAGGAGTAGCTACTGAAAGCTTTTTAGATGAACAAAAGCTGAAGCTTTTATAACCATGATGAATTTTAAAATGATTAGAGTAATTAAATCAAAATATTCTTTCTACTTAATTGGAAATCTTTTTTCATCTAAGGAAAATAAGTTGATTATTTGTATCATCTTTTCAGTCTATCTAATTATTACATTTCAAAAAAAAAAACAATTAAAACTAAAAAAAAATATTATTTCAAAAAAGTAGAATGATAACTTAATTCTACATTAAAAATTTAATTTGCAATAATATTAAAATTGTTCTAAATATTTCTTTTAGAATTTTAATTAAAAAAAAAAATGATCAATATTTTGTAATTCATTATTCAATTTACTTATAACCTTAAATAATCATTCTGTTTCTATATCAATCTTAATAAGTTCAATCTCCTATTTTATTTGATTATAAAGTATTTATTTTACTACTAAACTAAATTCTTCGATATTGATACTAAATTTTTAGAAAGCTGCATGTTTGGCAATATATTTTAAATTTTATTCTATTGATAAACATTAATGACTAAATTTATATGTTTTTGGGCTTTTTAAAAATTGGCTTTTCACTATAGAGTTTGGGGAACACTTTACTGTGATCTTTAAATCTATTTCTTAGTGTAATTTATTAATTATTGAAATATATGTGCCTTAAGTATTAAAAATGTCTTAGTTTTAGATTATGAAAATATTTATGTATGGATCTAATGTTGAAAATAGTTCTTATTTCTAAGTTATGATTAGTTTTTTTAGTTCAATAAAATAAAAAGTTACATCTAAAGAATAAAATATCCAAACTTTTCGATAAGTAAATGGAACAAAATAATATAAATTCCCTAATTTATAAATTTAAATACAAGTATAAATTGCATATGAATTATTGGAGTAAAATGAAGTATTTAGCCTAATAGTGAATGAGTGATCATAATTAAATCCGTAATAAGGTGTGATAAACCAGGACGAGGCTTAAGGGACAATATTAAGTGTAGAATTTTAAGAAACTGTGTCTAATCCCAAATCTAAAAATGCTTCCTTTATCCCTAAAATTATTTAATAGCCTAAATGTTTCAAATTGTTCAACTTTTCTGCTGGATTTGATATCTCAACTTAAACAAATGTTTCAGTAAAGTCTAATTACTAAAATTAATTACTAGTTATTGAAATAAGAAAAACTAAGGGTCCTAAAAAACAAAACTTGTTAATGATAGAATAGCAATCTCTGCATTAGGATTTTTATGAAAATGAGTTTAATTTGTTGGGTTATCCATTTTAAAAGAATTAATAATTTCTATTCTTTAATCATCGATTGCATACCACGAAATATGTACTGCTCTTACTTATCCTGATGGTAATGGACATTTTATAAATAATAAAAAATCTATATATAATTATTAAATGTAATACTAATAAGACTAATTTCTTTAGTTTCTAATTGAAATTCAGAAGATGTGTTCAAACATAACAAATTCCAAAAAAAAAGACTTAAGGAACATTTTCAAACGAATCTGAAAAAGGGATAGTAAAAGTTCTTTCTAAATTACTCCTGCAATCAAAATTACCGTATGCTATATCCATTTTAAAAATTCCTTAATCCTTATTAATCTTGCAATTAATTAAAGGTATGATAAAGAATAAAATCATAAATATTAAAATTAAATAAATTTACAAAATAATAATGAAAATAATTATAATGAAAACATTCCTCGATATGCAATTTTGGAGATGGAAATAAAATATCTTAAAATTACAGCAAAATCTCCATTTAATTATTAAAATAATTATATTCCAATAAAGGTTGAGGTTCTCCTAATATCGACAAATAATCCTATGGTAGCCTAAGCTAATCTTGTTCTGCCTGTTGTTTGTTGATAGATCCTTTATTAGTTATGAGCCTTACTTTAGTCCACTCTGAGGAGCTGTGATAGCCCAATAGTTATGCTAGCTAGTCTTTTTCAGCCCCGATAAAGCCCCTATTCTATTAATTCTCATTCTTGGTGCATACAGATTCCACTCATAGTCCTAGAAGCTAGACTAGGTAGGCCTGTAGGGTTGGCCCATTAGAAATTTATTTCATTATTTTAAATTAAATGTAATAAATTGAATTTCTGCTTCCAAACAGAAACATTTTCACATATCAAATTTAAAATTAAGATCAAGTTTATTACAGGAACATTTCTAAAGGTAATATTAAATAATAATTTTTTAGATTTGTAATTAGATTGCTCTGAAGAATTTGTAGCATTATATGATTTGACTAAAAAAAATATAGTAAGTAAATTATATCATAAGTAATCTATTTATTAAAAACTTTAGATTATGCCCAGAAAAACAATATAAAATATTTTATATGAATTTAGCAATTAACATAATTAATGGCTATGAGTAGAATATATAGAAATTAAATGATGAAATTACAAAGTTAAAAGTAGAAAACAAAGATTCAGTCAGACGCAAAAATAAAAAAAATTAAGAAATAAATCAATCTTATCAAGCAAGTTGAGAAAAAATTAAAAGAAGCTGAAAAAGATTTAAAAGTGAAGTATATTCTTTTTAATTTATTCAGCAACTATCTATTGGGATGATTTATCAAATTAAGAATTATTTTCACATGTTCTCGTTATCACTATAATAGGGGAAAAAAAGGCTTTTTACTATTTGCCTATTTACTTTGTGAACATAATGCTGAATTTGTTTGGACTTAAGATTGGACCAAAGGTTTTCTAGGAATTCTTTATGGAATAACTGTAGGATTATTTAGCATATTTTATGGTTTTTTGATTGGTTTAATTGTGGTTCT